TTAATTCAAGATAAAAATACAGAAAAATTTCTTCAGGTATAAATTTTCTTTTACAAGTTTTTCATGAAAAGGGCAAGCACAAGTTTTAAGAATATTCTCATCTAATTTTTTGTTTTTATTTCCACAATTTTCTCAAGCTAATATAAGGCATTTTAGAACTTTGAATATAATTTGAATCTTTTAAAACAACATTTAGCTTTCTCAGTGAATTATAATTTGCCCTACGCACACCTGTAGCTTTTGTTTCTTCTCTGAATTAAGGTATTAGGCATTTAGTGGGCACTCATTAGATACTTGTTTTCCCAGTACAGGTAGCTGTCTTTGATGCTGTAAGTGGGTAGTCCCTCATGTCTCCCGTGCTGATGTTTCATGAGGTCCAGGCTTTCAGGCCTGTGAGGATCCCAGATGGCCCCAGAGTCCATCATCCCAGTTATTGCCAGAGAATACAGATAAGCAAAAAGATGTGTGTGCATTTTTAAAAATACAAATGGCATCCTACCATGAGTTATACTTTGTTTTTTGTTTTGTTTTTCCTTCCTCCTTCCCTCTCTCTTTTATACATCACACAGAAGAGCACAGCTACTGTGGTACCAAGCACACCTGGGTATGAAGCTCAGCTCAGCCAATCTCCAATTTTAAAAACATGGATAATTTTTGTAAACCCTCTGGGCCCCTGAGAAATAATAACATTAAGTTTAACCCTATGAAATGGGCATTTTTGCAGGTTAAAGAAAATGCATATTGACAATTTCACATCATCCTAATAGTTCCCACCTTGTATAGTTTTGTCAGCATTAAATGAGATGATGCACATGCAGTTCTCATCACAATGTCTGGCAGTGAGGTAATCACTAATGACTATACATATTAATTGCTACTGCTACTACTGGGATGATGATGACGATGACTGCTAAGAGGCAGAAGCACAATTCAAAGGGAACCAAAAGAGCAGTCATTCTTAGGTTTTCAACCATGGATTCTGGACTTGAGAATTGTACTTTGTTTTTGTTGTTGTTGTTGTTTGTTTGTTTGTTTTTGAGACAGTCTTGTTCTGTTGCCCAGGCTGGAGTACAGTGGCATGATCTTGGCTCAATGCAACCTGTGCCTCCCCGGTTCAAGAGATTCTCATGCCTCAGCCTCCTGAGTAGCTGGGATTACAGGCATGCACCACAATGCCTGACTAATTTTTGTATTTTTAGTAGAGATGGGGTTTTGTCATGTTGGCCAGACTGGTCTCGAACTCCTGACCTCCAGTGATCTACCCGCCTCGGCCTCCCCAAGTGCTAGGATGACAGACGTGAGCTACCGTGCCTGACCTGAGAGTTGTACTTTGTAAATTACTCATTTAAAAGAATTTTAAAAACCTATATTATGAGCACAGTTTTATCCTGACAACCATTCTGACACATCTTTTTGTGTTTTGTGGAATACTTCATTGCATGGATTACATCGGAATTTATTTAACCAATTCATTACTGAGGGGACATTTAAAATATTTTTAAATTTTGGCTGGGTACAGTGGCTCATGTCTCTAATCCCAGCAATTTGAGAGGCTGAGGTGGGAGGATCACTTGAGCCCAGGAGTTTGAGACCATTCTGGGCAACATAGCAAGCCCCTATTTCTATTTTTTTAAAAAAATTGTTTTAAATAATATTTTCTTTGCCTTTGTAAATAATACTTATATATATATATATATATATATATATATATATATATATATATAACTTTATGTGCTTTTATGTTATTTCTTTTAAATACATTTCATAGAAGTAGACTAGAAAGCATGCTTATTTCAAATTTTGCTACATACTGCTTGGCTGCCCTCTTGAAAATTTCATTAATTCATTTGAAAATATTAATCTATTGTGTATGCCAGACACTGCTGGGTTCTGAGTATACAACAACAAATAATGGTAGACAGAGTTCCTGCCTCATGAAACTTGCTGTCTAATGTTAGAAGCCAAATAAACAAGTATAAAACACAATATAGAAAAGTGCAAGGCACTTTGAGAAAATACAACCAGTAGTCTGGGAAGAGCCGTGAATTTGTGATATTTTAGCTAAAAACCTAATGGATGATTAGGAGTTAGCCAGACAAATGGAGGAGCAGTGTTCCAGTCAGTACCAAGTTGATCTGAGTTGATAGTATGACCACAGGGCAAAAGATGAGAGTGAAGAGATGAATTATCAAGGATAGGATATACCTTTAGGGAATTTGGATTTTATGGAAAGCCTTCAAATGGTTTTTAAGCAAGAGTGATACAAATAGAATTCATTTGCTGTCTATTAAGATGATTCTAGGGAGGGAAACCAGGTTAGGGGTTGATGTGGAAACTTAGATAAGTGATGACTATAGGTTGGTCTTTAGTAGCAGTAGGGATGGAGCATGTGGTAGGATGTATAAAGTAGCAATAGATATAAGTAACAGAAACCCAACATTGGTGGCTTAAATAAGATGGAGTTTTTTTTCTCTCTCATCAACAACAGAAGTAGAGAGGTAGATAGTCCTGGGCTAGTATGGCAGCTCCACAGTCATTAGAGACCCACACCCCTTCCAGCTTTTTGCTCTGCTATCTCTAGGCCATTCTTATGGTACAAGATGACTTACTGTAGCTCTAGTCATCACACCTACCTTCCTAGCAGCAGGATGGAGGAAGGGAGGGAGAAGGAGGCACCCTGTTCATCATAAAGAGACTACCCAGAAGTTCCACACAACAATCCCACCGTAACATGGTCAAATGGCCACCCTTACTTGCAAGGGAGGTAGAAATGTGGAATTTTATTTGGGCATCATTTTACACAGCCAAATATCAGAGTTCTGTTAATTTGAAAGATAAAGGGAGAATAAATATTTGATTGGCAACTAATAATCTGAGGCCTGGGAAGGTGGGGAACTAATTCAGTTCAGCTAAATTGTTTACAAAATAACAACTCACAATACTGGTAAAAGATAAACATATACCAGTGTTGAAAAGAGACTTATTTGGCTATGAAGCAAAGATTTAATATTAAAATCCTGTTTTATTTTTGCAAAGAATAAAGAAGTGTTAGCTCAAATAAACCCCCAGCTTAGTTAAGAATGTAGCTGTATTAATTTAATCTGAATTGCTACCATATAAAATTGTCATACTTGTGATTTTTAGTACCTTGTCATTCATTAATATTCAGAGTATAGAAAAAGGTCGACAGAGTGCTGCTATTTTTTTTCAAGCCTGTGACTGACATCATAGATTGCTGCTATTTGGAACAAAGTCAAACAAGACCCAAATTAAGGGATTTGCTTATTGTTTTTCTCTATCAAGGATATTAGCAGTGTATTATAGTAGAAAGAGCACGGGCTTTGGAGTGAGTCAGACAGCAGTTGCAAGCCCAACTTTTCTACTTTCTGGCTCTGTGATCTTGGATAAAGTTTATCTCTGCAAGAGCCTGAGTTTCCTCAACTGTAAAATAGAGATAATACCTACTTTGCACGGTTATCATGAAGATTAGAAATGCACTTATGGGCCAGACACGGTGGCTCACACCTATAATTCCAGCACTTTGGGAGGCTGAGGTGGGAGGATCACTTGAGGCCAGGAGTTTGACAATAGCCTGGCCAACATGGCGAAACCTCATCTCTACTAAAAATACAAAATTGGCTGGCCGTGGTGGCACTCGCCTGTAATCTCAGCTACTCGGGTAGCTGACAAACGAGAATCACTTGAATCTGGGAGGCAGAGCTTGTAGTGAGCCGAGATAGCACCACCACGCTCCAGCCTGAGTGACAAAGCAAGATTCTTGTCTCAGAAAAGAAAAAAAAAAATGAACTTATGATATACATCTAGCATGGTGAGTAACACAGTAAATAATAAATAGCTAATATTATAAGAATTACTCTTTAGCAATAAGTAATTTGTTTCCTCTAGCTTCTGGTATATGGGGAGGTATGACTACAAAGATTTCTAACCATTTCTATATCATTCTTTTTTTTTTTTTTTTTGAGATGGAGTCTCGCTTGGTCGCACGGCTGGAGTGCAGTGGTTCAATCTCTGCTCACTGCAATCTCCGCCTCCTGGGTTCCAGCTGCCTCAGCCTCCTGAGTAGCTGGGACTACAGCATCACCACGCCTGGCTAATTTTTTGTATTTTAGTAGAGATGGGGTTTCATCATGTTGGCCAGGATGGTCTCGATCTCCTAACCTTGTGATCCGCCTGCCTCAGCCTCCCAAAGTGCTGGGATTACAGGCGTGAGCCACCACGCCCGGCCTATACATCGTTCTTAGGATGCTTCTGTAGCAGTTTGCTACCTGTTTACAGAACCTGTAATTATTTGTGATGGTGCCTAGATTCAAAGTCAGCCCTAAATCTTTGCTCAAAACAAACTCTTCCCTACCCTCATGCCTTTTATCCCTATTTACTGTATCCAAATCCATCTGTCTATTGATAGTTTCCTTGCTATCCACAGCCATGCCACATATAGAATGGGGAGTGAGTTCAGGCCTGAGCCAATTCAAGTGTGGATTTGGAACCTGGGGGAAGGAAGAAAAAAAAGGCCTCGTAGAGGCACGGGATAGTATTATTAAGCAGAAACAGAAAGATAAAGATGGTTTATGGTTCAGTCTACACCCAGAATAATAGTGCAATAAGCTAAATTCTATAGAAGCTTTTGAAGTGTTTTAAAATGTGAGGGAAATTAGCCAGTCTGTCAGCTCTAATACAAATAACCTCAGGATTTTTCCTTCACGTTCCTCAGTGGCTCCTTAGAGGGGAGTTGCCTCTTGAGAAATGTGTCAGCCCTGCCTAGAGCCCGGCGTCAGCCCTCTAGGTAGACCCAATAGGGTCAGAATTTTAACATGCAAACCTTTAATAGGGAGGCCTTTAAGGTCTAGAGTAGGAGTCAGCAAATTATGGCCCCTGCCAGGGTGGTTTTATATGATCCACAAGCTGAGAATGGCTTTTACATTTTTTAAGAGGAATTGTTTGTTTGTTTATAAAAAGGTATCGTACATTTCAAAATTGCTAAGAAAGTAAATTTCAAATATTCTCACCAAAAAAAAGATAAGTATTTGAAGCAATGGACATGTTAATTGGCTTAATTTAATTATTCCACATGATATTCATAAATCATAGTATCACTTTGTGCTCCATAGATACCTATAATTATAAATTGTAAACTTAAAAAAAAATGTTTAATGACGTGGCAAGACTATATAGCCCACAAAGCTGAAATATTTATTGTCTGGCCCTTTACAGAAAGAGTTTTCTAACTCCCGATTTTGAGGCCCCTTCTCTGAAAGGAGGTGGGTCTCACCAGAGGCTGCAGGAGGTCTGAACGTCTGTTTTGAATCCGAGGGTAGGCACTTACAGAAAAAGAGGTGTCACCATCAACAAAGAGTAGATTTCTAGTTCTCTTCAGGATTTCTGGAGACTGGCAGACTAACCCAACACTGAGGGATTGCTGGGCTAGAAACAGTGAAAACTTGTGTTGGGTTTAGAATACAGTATCGCCTTTGTTCTAACTAAGCAGTGGAATACATCCCTCATTAATGTTGCTCTCTCAGGCCTTTTAGGCTACGTTCCAGTGAGTCCTGCTGCTGAATGGCACATCAGTGGGATATAGGCCTCAGATCAGTGTCCTGGGCCTACAAACAGGAGAGAATTAGCTTTGCGGCTCCTAGATAGATAAGGTAGTAAGTGAAATTGTTTCTTTTGCTTGCATATTTCTAAATTCCGTATTACATGTTAGTGGAAATTAATACCTTATGTCTAGGTAGGCATATTCCTAACTATTTCACCTGATCCTCAAACCAGTGGTGGGGATTATAGGCCTAAAAGAAGGGCACTGCATCTCTGGGCACAGACCAGGCCCACTTCCTAACATGGCCACTGTGACCCTAGAAGAGGGAGGACACAGGAGATCAGGGCACCCTACCTGCATGCATGGATGACCATTGTATTTCTGAAATACTTTAGTCTAAAGACTGCAGAATTTACATTTCCCTTATTCTTTTTATTTTTCAAATATTTTTTTCTTACCACATACCAGAAGATGGATAGTTAGTCTTTTTTCTAGATGGTAAATATAGAGCTTTGAGAGAACAGGTACCTTGACCCAGATGACCCAGCAAGTTGGAGGAAAAGCCAAGAATGAAAGTAGTGTTTCTGTCCTTGAGCATCCTGCCACTGTCCTAGGCATGGGTAGCTTCCAGATGAAGCTAAGATCAAACTCCTTTATCACTAGTGATCAAATCTGGTTGTTTCTAAGGCTGCACTGTTGTTCTGATGACTGAGTGGATAATCCTGGAATGACAGGAAAAAATGTATTAAATGAGTCGCTCACCAGCCTGCCTTCTTGCCAGCACCCTGGCTTCTTAAGGTATTAACATGTTGTGTCACTGACGATGACCTGTGATGGCAAGAAGATGACAGAGTCACTGTTCCTGTGCGCTTGGCTGCTCGGCTGCTTTGTTTGCATGTCAGCATTCCTACCTGGTGTGTGGTACATTTTTGTCATTCCACGGCAGTCTGCTGTGCTCCTGGCTCCAGAGTGAGCCAGTCTATATCTATTTACATCAGCTCTTCAGCTGTGAGGCTCCTCACGCTCCTGTCCTCCTGATGGGGCAAGTAGACACTGTGGCAAAAGCTGCCTTCCAGGGAGGTTAGTGGGATATCCACAGAGTTCCAGATACTGTAGTCAAAGTATAAAGCTCCTGGGACACCAGTCTCTAGGTCTTGCAGGGATGAAGAAGCTTTCAGGAGAGATTATCTAGGTACTGGCTCCTGGCCCAATGAGATTTCTATCCCAGGGTGTCATATCTAGGAAGAAATCTCTGGTGGCAGATTTTCAAGGAATTTGATGTACCTGCTTAAAACCATGCAAATTGGTTGAGGACTAGCCTAACTTAGCCATCCTCTGTCTCAGATTCCTGTAAAACCTTCCCAAGCAGGCTTTTTCTTTTTCTTTACAATGTCAGCACTCAACGCCCTAGTCGGGGACTTATGACTGATAAGGCTGAGTTTCTGGGTAGTTGAGTGGCACTCTTTCTTTGATTTTATTCAGATCATTTCAGTGCAGCCAATGTGTGTGTGTGTACCCTGTCCAGAACAGCGGGGCCTACCTGACTCAGAGTACTATGAGCAATAGCTTTCAACTTGAGGCCCACCTGGTCCCAGAGGTTTGGCACTAGACAGCTGGACATATGAAAGCTCTATTTGTTCCTCTTCCTCTTCCCTGTCGCTGTTTAATGCTGAACTGTTTTCAACAAGGCTTGCTTCCTATAGAATCCAACTTAGCAACCTGGAGAAGCCTGAGGCCACTCCTGGAGCAGGAAGCTGCCCTAGATTTGGCAGTAACCAGTAGAACTTGATACTGACGCCAGAGTGTAAAAATAAACACCTCCTACAGTTCTGTCTTAATCCATTGGCATCAGAGTTGCTATTATTAACCCATAGGCCTCACAGGCAGCTGTGATGGTCAGACAGCACCCTGGACAAAACCTATCCTGCCAACTTGGGATCACACACTCTCCCCTTCCCTACTGGGATATGATCTGGGGCCCCAGGAGAAGCACCATCAGTCTAGGAACACGCCTTGCAACAGGTATTACTAGAGGTGGATTAGTATCTAAAGAGATTTTGCCTGCCACTTCCCTGGACCTGGAACCTTTAGATTTTCTGGGAAACTGGTAACGGAGACAGGAAAGAACTCCACTGCTCATCTGCCAGAAATATAATAATAGTGACTTATTACTAAGCACTTACCATGTGTTGGGTTTTTTTTTTGTTTTTTTTTTTTTTTTTTTTGAGACGGAGTTTCGCTCTTGCTACCCAGGCTGGAGTGCAATGGCGCGATCTCGGCTCACCGCAACCTCCGTCTCCTGGGTTCAGGCAATTCTCCTGCCTCAGCCTCCTGAGTCGCTGGGATTACAGGCACGCGCCACCATGCCCAGCTAATTTTTTGTATTTTTAGTAGAGACGGGGTTTCACCATGTTGACCAGGATGGTCTTGATCTCTTGACCTCGTGATCCACCCGCCTCGGCCTCCCAAAGTGCTGGGATTACAGGCTTGAGCCACCGCGCCCGGCCCTTGTTTTTTTGTTTTTTTTACAATATCTTAATTTTACTTGAAGCTTTTCAGGGAAAATATTATGACAGTTTTACAAATGAAGGAGCTGAAGTTTAGTGAGGTTGAGTGACTACCCAGAATTCCACAGTTGGCAAGTAATGTGTCAGAGTTGGACCCAGACTTGTCTTAACACCAAAATCCATGTTTTGAATAATTACAGAACCTGTGCTGCTGAATACTCAGAACGCAGGCTTCAGCTACCTGATTTTTAAATTTAAGGGCTTAAGTAAACAAAAATATATAAATTACTTTCACTTTAATCTTATAACTAAACCATTTCTGGAACACAGAAATGGTTTTTGCTGCCACCTATGAGTGAGCCAGTCCCAGTGCTCTTCCCAGGCACTGTGAGCTGAACGCCAGAGACTGTCAGGGCAAGCCTCCTGGAAGATGAGATACCTCCGGGAAAAGGCTTTGACTCTGCCTGAGGAGTCTTAGACCATGACTCCTCTGTGGAGAACATGGTCAGATTGTCTCCCAGGGGGAACAAGGCTTTGATGGCTCCGGGAGTCATGCTGAGGGAAGGGTGTACTTGAATAAAAAGATTATTTGAAGGGCAGCTAGGCTTCCCTCCCCTCTTTTTCCAGCCTCCTCCACCCTGGCCCCACAACTGGCTTGTGTAATTCAATCTAGATTCTTCTCATAGCCTTCTTTACTGGGCATATGGGGCCTTTTATTTACAGCTTTGGGCTTTCTGATTGGATAGCAGCTTCCTAGCCTGCATGCTTCAGTCCACTGCCTTTGGAGAGTGGGAGCAGAGTACACTCTGGTTTTGCGTCCTGAAGCCCGGGAGTTAAAAGGAATAGCCAGAGGGCTGCTCACACAGCCAAAGGGCTGGCCACACTGAGCAGTCAAAGAGCAGCATTGGGACCTTTTTTGTTCCAGTTCACTTGCTCCTGCAAATACGCACTTGAGAGCCATCCTCCAAGCAAAGCAGTCTGTGCGGGGGCTTTCAGCATCCACCCCTCATACACTGCCTCTGGTCTTGGTGGCTTCCTGCTCGCCTGCTGCTCACCTCCACCTAGCACTGGGAGGCTTCAGCCTGTGGGCCTTGTTCACTGCGGCACTCTCCATCCCCTCATCTGAAGAACTCGGTCTATCAAGGTAGGAACCAAATCTTTCCTAATTCCCTGTAGTCTTCCTCTCTTCCCTAATACATCCTCAAAAGAAATAGGGTTTACAACAAATTCCCAATCTCTAGAGACTTACAGCTAGCAGTTAGAAGCCAGCCAGCTGCGAGTATAGGTGTGTTTATGTGTCTTTGTATTCATGTTAGAATGCAGGAGGGTGAAAGGGAGGTCATTTTGTTAACACGCTGCATCGGAACCTTCCCCTGGGCTCCAGGTTTTAATTTGGCTTAGGTTATAATTAGACCAGAAAAGGACCTTTTGAGGTCATCTGATTGAGCCCTCTGCTTCCAAACAGGTGCTACAAGTTGAGCTAAGGAAGGAATCCATGTACACTTTTGCTGGCTGGATCAGCAGAAGAAAATAATTTTTTTGTTTTCTAGATGTAATTCCTTTTGCATATAAAGACCCTAGAGGCAAAGCTAGGTTTATTATCAGATTTTTATGGAATAAAGAAAAGCAACCCTTTCAGCTCAGTGAGTTTTCCTGGGTATACTTTCCCAATGCTGCAGTCTCCATTAACTGAACTGGGGCCTTGGGCGCTTGGAGCCTTTTACCTCTTAAGACTGCTGAGCCCATTCTGCTTCAGAGCCAAGCTTCTTCCGGAATGTTTGTCTTTGACTTTTAAGGGTAGACTTTAGCTGAACTTTTCTACAACATATGTGAGCAGCCAAAAGCAAAGCAAGTTCTGTGCTTCAAAAGAGGACTCTATATTAAGGAAGCCTAATAAGGCAGCAACTGGTGTGTCTGGGACAGCCCTTCAGGCTAGGCCCCTTCCAACACACTCACAGCATGCTGTCTGGCCTCACTGGGAGTCCAGAATAACATACCAGTTAGAAACCGCGGCCTCCTCAGCTAGCAGCAGCTACACTCTACTTGGAGGAAAGACAGATGACCTCCTGGGCGTTGGCTGCTATTCCATTTTTGGAATCGGACTCCTGATGCCATAGCCAGGTGCTCTCAGCATCTAACAACTTGTTTATTCTCTCTTTACAGTTCAGTCCTAGACATTCACAGGAATCACTGTTAACCTGAAATCAAATTCTTTGAGCCTCTCTCACACATTTCACAGAGAAGTACTTGTCTTGTAGGAAATTCAGAGCCTCCATCTAATCTCATGGCAGGGGTGGAGGGTAGTTATGCAAGCTGACCTTCCAAATTTATGTACAAAGTTTATTTCTGTTCTGGGAAATTAGGTTTGCTATTAATGAAGTTAGTCAACATCAATTTATAAACATTTGATTTTCGAGCTATGAAGAAAGACGTTTCTGTCAGTTAATTATTTATTTCACTCCCCATATCTCTAACCCCCAACAAACTATGCTCAGTTCTGCCTTTGCCTAGCGTCCCCTGGACGTGCCTTTTGGGGCCCCCACAGTGAGGAGAGGGAATTGGAGTACATGGGGCATTAGGCCTCCTCTGCTTCAACCGGGGTAGCTGTTTTATGTATTGGGGCTGAAAAATTAAAAGCATTGCTCTAACCCTTACATCCTGAATTCTTTTTGCTGTTCTGGCCCTCTCCAGAGGCATATTGGAAATTATTTTAACAAAATTATGAGCCCCTCAAATTGGGCTGTTACCCCTGAACATCCAGCATAGTTCCTTATACACAGGAAGAGTGTAGTAGATGCTTGTGGCTTGATTGCTTGCTTAATTGATTAATTGGCTCACAAGATGATATTAATTGATAGCCTCAGGATAATTCTAGATTAGAGAATAGAGTACAGTATGTCATAATTTATTTTGATTTGTTACAGTTTGAACATTTCTGACCTTTGCTACTGGAATCAGTCATTCAGTCTGAGGTGAAAACTTAGCCAAAAGGAATTACCCTAACCGAGATTGTTGCTGTTGGAGAGGAGACCCAAGTAGGGTCAGCACAAACAAAAGTACATTCTGTTGATTTCCAAAGATTTGTATGATTTTAGTACACCTCTGTCTCTGGTGTACTGAGGTGAAAGGTCAGCAGAGCGATCATTGGGAAGACCAGGCGCAGAGGTGTACTAAAATCATAGTCCTATTTATTTATTAGTACTGTTTACTTTGCTAAAAATTACCTTCTTGGACAGTTCCCAAAACTACTTGTCTTGACTGTTCAACTTTTCTTTTCTAAACTGTACTTATTAACAACAGCTAAGCTGTTTATCTTCAGCCTGCATTATACATCTGCATATCTTTTGTGAGGCTGGCTTTGTTTTTAATTAGCTTATATGTTTTATAAAATTATAATATTTTGTTTTTTTATAAAGCTAGGTAACAGGATATAACTGAAAAAACCAGCCACATTCAAATAAAGTCTGTAAGCTCAGTTAATTGTAATGTACTCAATGTTAATTTCTTTGTTTTAACAAATGTACCATGATTATGTAAGATGGTAACATTAGGGGAACTGGTTGAAGGATGTACAGGAACTCTGAACTATCTTTGCAACTTTTTATAAATCTAAATTATTGCAAAATAAGTAGTCAGCTTTTAAAAATTCATACAGAGCAATAAAGGTCTTCACAATGAAAATAGTGGCTGGGCATGGTGGCTCATGCCTATAATCCCAGCACTCTGGGAGGCTGAGGTGGCTGGATCCTTGAGCCCAGGAGTTTGAGACCAGCCTGGGCAACATGGTGAAACCTTGTCTCTACAAAAAATACAAACATTAGCCAGGCATGGTGATGTGTGCTTGTAGTTCCAGCTACTCAGGAGGCTGAGGTGGAAGGATGGCTTGAGCTCAGGAGGCGGAGGTTGCAGTGAGCCAAGATAGGGCCACTGTGCTCCAGCCTATGGGACACAACTCGACTCTGTCTCAAAAAAAAAAAAAAAAAAATTAAGCCAAATAGTGCCATATCTGGGGCAGTCTGAGCATCAAAATCAGTAATAGATTATGACCCACTGACTTTTTTTTAAAATCCAGGGGTCCATATTTATACTAAATCAATAAATTAAGAAAGGAAGGAAAAGGGAAAGCTTTATTATGTTAGAATGCCAACTAATAACTGTAGAAGGAATAATATAAAATTGCCATTTTTCGGCCAGGTGCAGGGGCTCATGCCTATAATCCCAGCACTTTGGGAGGCCAAGGTGGGTGGATCACTTGAGGCCAGGAGTTTAAGACCAGCCTGGCCAACATGGTGAAACTCTGTCTCTACTAAAAATACAAAAAATTAGCGAGGCATGGGGCACATGCCTGTATTCCCAGCTACTCAGAAGGCTGTGGGAGGCAGAAGTTGCAGTGTGCCAAGATTGTGCCACTGCACTCCACCCTGGGCAACAGGATGTGACTCTGCCTCGGGAAAAACAAAACAAAACAAAAAACTCATTTTTTTAACCATCATAGTAAACAACTGATTCTGACAACACTTATCAATGGATGTGAAAATGATTGGATAAAAGTCTGATGGGGAACAGGTTATTTACCCAATCTAAAAGTAATCTCTCCATAGATTGCTTATTAATTAGAGGAGAAAATGGTAGCTTTACAATGGAGAAACCTGATAGATACTATCTTACCAAATGGTTGGTTCAAAATTACCATCATCAATAAAGTGACAAAATGACCACATGTACTGGGTTTTGTCTTGTTTTGTTCTGTGTTGTACGTTTCTCCAGACTCCTATTTTCTGTTTTTGTTGTACTCTTTGTTTTCTGTTGGAGGCTGTCCTCAAAAGTCTGATGATCCCTTGGCTGCTGATTTAAGAGTGAGCCATTTAAAAACACTGGAGGTTCTGTGAGAGTAGAAAGACATCTCAACTGGCAAAATTGTCTGGTGGGCAGGTGCAACAGGCTGGCCTCTTTTTTTTGTGGGGAAACCCCCAAAGTCTGTATTTGACGTTGTTTTCTCTGAGGTAGTTTAGTTTCTGCAGAGAAATAATCTACCAGGGGTAGGGGTGGGATAAATAAGTCTGGCTTATTTCTAATAATTTATTGCTATTCACCTTTGAGATTTTTTATTTTAAAACATTTCGCACACAGCTGATATAGATTCTGTAACTGACAGTTTTGGTATGAGAAGTTCTTACAGTCTAGGTATTTATTGTTTTCTCTGTTATTTGCTGACAGGATCTTTGTGATTATTAATTATAAACTAATTTTTGTTGCTCTTTAATTTTGAGAATTCTGTTGACTTAAATTGGGAAATGTTTTCCCCCAGAGAAAATTCCTATCTTCTTCTGCCAAAAGTTGTGGAACACCACCTACTTTGGATCATGATGAACTTCCTTCAAGTTTCCCTGTTTCTACTTAATGCAAGACTCTCAGGTTTAGTTTCCTCACCTTTCCAGTGGCTCAGTCTTGTCATGTTGGCTGCAGTGATGCTCTGGGAATTGACCCACAAGGAAGCCTGGTCCTCCCCCTTGCTTACTGCATAGCTCGTGATTTTTTCCTCTTTCGGGGGATTGTGTAGAGTAGTCACAGAGATGTCTCCTATATACTGAGAGACCTGAAATGCTTTTAAAAGTATATATTGCCCAGACATTGTGGCTCATGCCTATAATCCCAGCACTTTGAGAGGCTGAGGCAGGAGGATTCCTTGAGTGCGGAAGTTCAAGGTCAGCCTGGGCAACATAGCAAGATGCCATCTCTACAAAAAGTTTAAACATTAACCAGGCATGGTGGTGTATTCCTGTAGTCCTAGCTGTTTGCAAGGGCTGAGGCAGGAGAATTGCTTGAGCCCAGCTCAAGGTTGGAGCAGGCTGAGATTGGGTCACTGCATTCCAGCCTCAGTGACAGAGTGAGACCCTGTCTCTTAAAAAAAATTAAAAATAAATATATATTATATAGGATCTCATATTTTGCAGTGGAAGATGCCCTGTAATGTCTTGATCACCATAATGTGGGAAGCAGAATTCTCTTTGCATAATTTGATATCCTTTTTTTTTTTTTTAAAGAGATAGAATCTCGCTGGAGTGCAATGATGCTATCATAGCTCACTGGAGCCCAAAACTCCTGGGTTCAAGTCAGCCTCCTACCTTAGCCTCCCAAGTAGCT